ACTGTAATCACAGTGGATTTTTCTGGGAATGGTAATCTCCCCTGTCTTGCCATTGGGCAGACAGAGCAGGTAAATGGTTGTTTTGGGGAGAAGGATGCTGGGATACTGGATATTCCCTTCATCTTGACAAAGGGTACATGACCCGTTAGTTGTGCCACAACACATTTATGTCACTACTTAAAGACATCAAAGAATTAACACCATTCACAATGGGAAGTTGCAGTTTATTATTTGGGGAACAAGTATTTACAACTGAATGGGATGCATGTGCAACTATCTCTAGACAATGAGTTATTTACAGTGGAATGATGAGAGCAATGTGAGTTGTGTGTGCAACAACTGGAAGAAACAAAACTAGCATTTGGACTATTTACAAATGATTCTGAATGTTTGTTCCTAAGACATATTTGGCAGAGGAGATAGAGTCCATCACTGACTTTACCAATTTTCAGAGGCCTCTTCATTAAAGGGGCCTACAGAATACAGATATTATCAATAAAGGCAACTATGCTATGAGGAGTTGAACTAGTTAATGAATGAATAGATATGAGATTGTATTTGAAGGAGGGTATGTACATAACCTTATGCAAAATGATCTTAGGAAACAATGCCACACTTCCAATTTGTGTTACTTTTACCTTATATCCGTTTGGAAGAACTACTAATAAGGGATATGGTAAGGTCACAATGTTGGTTAATAAAGACAAGTTGAAGGTCATGTTATTAGATGCTTCTGAATATAATATCCAAGAGTTTGCTTTGTTTTTGAAGCACTCACAGGACAATTTGCAAAAGTCAATGGAAGAAGTGCAGGCTATTATACCTGCAAAGTTCACAACACCATTGGCATGACTTGTGCAACTGGAGCTTTCTCCTCCCATTCTAATTTGAAAATGCTGCAGAAAGTTCAGGATCTGTCCATACTGTTCCTTAGAGAGATTGATCTGCCCCACCTCATTTCCATCTTCTAATTCATCTTTTCCTGTTGACATTGCTTTAGAAGAAGTGCCCTGCACATTGGTCACTATTCTCCTTCCTTTGTTGAACCTTTCAGCTTGGTTCAAATCCTGTCCTCTATTTGAATTCTGAGTGTATGAATTTCCAAAGTTCTGAGGGTACCCGTGTAACTTGTAACATTTGTCCTTGATATGTCCTAGCTTTTTGCAATAGTCACAAAATGGACGGGGCCTATTGCCTCTAGTTAAATTGTTATTAGCAGCATAATTGATTTTGTAAGAACCAGGTCTTGATGTGTTGACACTTCGGGAAGCAAAATCAAGTAGCATTTGATTACTTGGCTTAATTTCTCTTTGTTTCTCATCCTGAACAAGTAATGAGAAGGCTTGTGCAAGGTTTGGTAGTGGATTCATCATAAGGATGCTGCCTTGCACAACAGTGTAGACTTCATTGAGTCCCATGAGAAATTGTATCAACCTTCTGTCCTGCTCGGCCTTGTGCATGTTCTCCTTGGCACCACATGTACAGGTACAACTGTAGTGAGTCATTTTGCTCAAGGTATTTAGCTCTTCCCACAGCTTCTTCAGCTTAGTATAGTAGCCTGTAATGTCCAACACACCTTGAGATAAGTCATTTATCTCCTTTTGGACCTGGTAATGTGTGGCACCATTAGTCTGCTCATATCTATCCTCCAATTCTTTCAACAACTCAACAACATTGCTAGCATATTCCACACTATCTGCAATGTCTTTAGAAAGTGAAGTTAGAATCCAAGACGTTACCATATCATCGCATCTGAATCTCTGAGATTGAGGCTCCGGTGGCTTACACTCTCCACTTATGAAACCTAGATTGTTTTTTACGGATAGACCACGCATTACACTACGTCTCAAAGACCTGTATCCAATTCCACTAAAAGGAACTGAAATGAGCATTGCTCTAGGATTATCTGACGGATGCAGATAAAGAGGATCGCTTGGATCTATTACGATGTTTGTCGCAACTGGAACACCAATATCACCAACAGATGTATTTTCCTGAACCAATATGGACATGAGTATAGAACTTCGTTGTGTTATTCACTAATACCAGCAGAAATTTGAAGAATTGACTGTCAATTTTGCGATTTGAAGAAATTAGGGAAAAAATCGATCTAATTGAAAAAGCAGCGTTATGAGAGGAAAAAATTGGGGAAAATTAACGGAGAAGAAGACGGATAATCGAGGATGAGCTTCCCCTGCTCTGATGCCATGTTAAGATCTGACTTGGATGTGAGCTTGAAACTCGATCTGGAGCTCCAATGAAGTTATTCTAGCGAGTTCTGAGAGAGAGAGAATTCATGAGAAATGAGAGCAGAAAATGTAGAAATGGAAAGCTTAGTCTTTCTCATTACTGTTGTGAGTATATACACGTGTGGACACAACTAATGCTGAGCTGGCCACTAACTACTCAACTAACACTACTCTATTACATAAGATATTACTAACTATACAACTAACACATAACAATATACATATAATCAGCATTATATAACTCTCAACAGTGTAACTGGTAAAGTTGTTGCCATATGACCAGCAGGACACGGGTTCGAGCCGTGAAAATAGCTTCTTGCAGAAATGAAGGGTAAGACTGTGCATAATAGACCCTTGTGGTCCTGCCTTTCCCTAGAGCCCACGCATTGCGGGATCTTAATGCACTGGGCTGCCCTTTTTAGTGTATTTTGATATGTACCAGGTTACCTACCTTATTTTTCAGCTTACTATCCCATTTACTCTGGATGGTATCTGTATTTTGTTAAGCGATATGATAATGTTACTTATTTTATATGGTCAATATTGAAGTTAAATGCTATGTGACTTCTTATCTCTGATTGTTGGGAACTGGTTTACTCTTTTTCAGGTGGGACTAAGCAGATTTAGATTCAACATTTCTCTGGAGAGAGAGTGATATTGAAGTTTACTGGATAAAATGTTAAGTGTTGATGAAGCACAGGCAAAAACTTTGAATGTAAATTATGAGTGTTCATAAATTTTTGTGTTAGGAAAGGCAATTGGAGTTTGCTTTCTTCTTTAAGACAACACTTATTTGTTTGTTTTCATTGCTTTCATAGGATTAAAAAACCATCTAAATGCTACCTCCAGGCAAGAGAAGGAAATTAACTATTATTCTTGTCTGAGGGGTAACATTGAATGTTAGTCCTATGTTTGATGAATGTTCGTGCAATATAATTACATTTTACTGATCCTCAAAGATTATAACATAAAAGACAACTTGATTCTCAACTGAGCTTCGAAGTTGCATATATTTGAAAAGATCATCAACGGTTGTGTTGCGATGGATAAAATCTCTACGCTCTTAACACAGAGGTCTCAAGTTTGAGCCTTGAGAATGAAAAAAATCCTGGTAGCTACGAAGCAATTTTCCCTTTATCGGACATTATGCAGCAGTGGCAGTGCGAATCCGAATTGGTGGATGTCCCAAAGCAAGTACCAAAACCAGATAGAAAATAAAATAAATAAGTAAAAAGAAGATTGGTCAAAAATGGTGCCACAAATTGGTCTATCTTATTATGTCTTAAACGGGTTAGGGTAAATCTAGTTCTACAACCCAAAATTATGTGTATATAAATGCTAGGAAACTAGGGTTTGATGATTGAAAAAGTCACGATATTGTGTTATTCAAATGTAGGGATTATCAATAATTTGAGGTTTGAATGTAGCAGATTAGGAGGTATAACAAAGAAAACTCGAACCTTAGCTATGGCGATGGAAAAAGAAGAGTCGAGAAGAGAGAAGAATGAAGACTACCGAAGTAAAATGTAATTGTTATTATGATAGCCAAAATGTAATACAATCACCTATATGTATTGTATTGAGCTGGAATGAAAGATTCCTTTTAAGCACTTCTCAACTAACTCTAACTAACTTTTGACTATTAACTAACTTCCGGAACTAACTAACTAACTCCTATTTGCTTTATTAATTACAACTCACTATTAACCACTAATACAACACTAATTGTATAACAGTACATCCCCCTCAAAAGAGATCCTCGTCCTCAAGGATCAAAGTGAGGAGATCGAATCTTAAGCTCATTGTAGTATTCCTAAGTAGCATTACCAGCTGGTATGCCAAGCCATTTAGTGAGCACCTGCGCCCGGTGTTTTAAAAGGTGTGGGCATAAGGCAAGACATTTTTACATATGCTTCAGCGAGGCGTAAGCCCCGAGGCACGAAGCGTAAGCCCCATATGTATTTAATTTTTAATATTTTAAAATAATATAATTATAGTAAATATTTATAAACAAATAAAATTGCATAAAAATTGAAAAAAATTATAAATATGTGAAATATATATATATGTGTGTGTGTGTGTGTGTGTGCGCGCGCGCGCGCATATGTGTGTGCGCGTGTGCGTGTGCGTGTTTGTGTGTCTGCGCGCGTGCGCTCCATCCCCACAAAAAACTAGTCAAAAGAATCTATTATATGCTACTTAGAAGCATAAGTAACTTGAGTCGAAAAGAATAAAGTTTTCTAAATGGAGGAACAAAAAGGATGACTAACCTGCAATTTGAACTTTGAACTTGTTGCTATGAAGGGGAATAGAGTTCTCTTTGTATTTGTAAAAAAAAATTGTATATTCGTTGCTTTTGGGAGATATTAGCAAACTAGCGGACAAGATAAGAAGTGGAAAAGATCATGAATTAGGCTTCAATCATTAAAAAAAGTCTTGACTATTAAATTTCATACATTTCAGTTCCTTTCTAAAACTTTTGAGTAATTACCAAGCTGACTTTTGAGAATTTAGGTATTATATGAAAGACTTATTCAACAAATTTTGTTTTATATTGAAAAAGTCTCTAGGGCTTATACCTCACCAAAAAAACACGCCTCAAATGCCCGGGCGTATGCCCCAAACGTCCAGGCTTACGCCCAGAATTACTGGGCGTACACCTCTTGTGACTTTCGCCCCACACCATCGTCTCAGGGTGTTTTTGGTGCTCCTCGCTTAGGGCTCGCCCCAAAATGCCTTTTAAAACACGGCCTATGCCACAGCCTTGTTTTCCCTTTTCACCATTCTTCTCTGTAAAACCACCTCTGGTTCAGGACAGTTAGGATCAACAATGTCCACCACTAGAGGGTAAGAGATATGTTCAGGAACAACATGACACTTCTTCAATAAGGAAACATGGACAGTTGGACGAATTTTGACTGATGCTGGAAGCAAAAGAGTGTAGGCTACAGAGCCTATCTTCTTGGTCACTTGAAATGGTCCATAGAACTTATCAGCTAACTTGTGATATGGCTGGGGATAGATGGTTGTTTGCTTATAGGGTTGAACCTTCAAGTAGACCCAATCTTCAACTTGAAATGATCTGTCACTCCCATGTTTGTCAGCTTGATTCTTCATTCGAAGCTGGGCTCCTAACAAATGGTGTTTGAGTTGTTGTAGTTTGAGTTCCCTATTAGTGAGGATGTTGTCCACCTTACTAGTAGCTGATTCACCAGAAATGCAGGGAAGATGTAAAATAGGAGGTCTGCCATATAAAGATTCAAATGGAGTGGTATTGATGGTTGAGTGATAGTTGAGCCATAGGAAGACAAGATAACCGGCCATTAGGTTCTTACGCACAAAAGTATTGTAGGTAATTAAGTTTCCAGGCACCTATTGACCACCTCTGATTGGACATCTCACTGAGGGTGGTAAGCTGAGGACATGTTGAGTTTCATACCTTGTAATGAAAAGATCTCCTGCCAAAATTTGCTCAAGAAGACAGTCTCTCTGTCACTGGTGATGGCTTCAGGAAAACCATGTAGCTTGACAATATAATCTAAGAAGACATGGGCCACTGTTTGGGCAATATAGGGGTGTTTCAACGCAAGGAAGTGAGCCTGCTTGCTCACCTGTCTACAAACCTTAATCACTTCATACGCTTTAACCTTTGGTAAGCCATCAATGAAATCCATACTAATTTGAGACCAAACAATGTCAGGTATGAGTAAGGGTGCTAATAGCCGAGGTGATGCTGCTAGATCAGCCTTTCTCTTTTGGCATATATCACACCCTTGTACATACGTTTGACAACCTTCCTGAGGTCTTTCCAGTAGAATAGTGTTTGTGATTGTTTGAGAGTAGCTTCTACTCCTGCGTGACCACCATGTAAGGTGTTATGCCAATGAGATATTTGTTCTGTCTGATGGGGCCCTTGCCTACAACCAGTTTGCCATTTCTTCTTAGCTACTGATGGGACTAAGTGTACTGAGGGTGCCAAGTGGGGTCTGCTTGTACTTCTTTAATTCTAGATCTTGGTCCCAGCTGGCAAGAATGGCTTATAGCATCTCAGAAGTTTGAGGGAAGACCATTATGGCTAATAATTCATCAACACTGATCCTTGAGAGTGCATCAACCACCTTTTTTCAGCTCCCTTCTTATACTCTATGACATAGTCAAAGGGCATAAGTTTGGTTAATCACCTGAGTTGAGTGTTGGTGTGAATTTTCTGCTCCATAAAAAACTTCAATGCTTTCTGATCAGTTCTAATGATGAACCTTTGGCCCAACATGTATTAAGACCACTTCATTACTGCATGTCCAATAACAAGTAGTTCTCTGTCATACATAGACATAAGTGTCTTCTTCTGAGATAGAGCCTTGCTAATAAAGGCAATAGGGTGGCCCTACTGCATAAGCACTGCCCATATCCTATAACTACTAGCATCAATCTACACCACAAAAGTTTTGGTGAAGTCAGGGAGAGCTAGTATAAGAGCTTGAGTTAGTGCTTTCTTCAGTTCGTTGAAAGCCTTAGCAGCTTGTGGTGACCATCTGAATCCTTCTTTCTTTAAGAGCTCAGTTAATGATCAACTAACGACATTCCAAAACCTCTGATAGATCTTCTGTAGTAGCCTGCCAATCCTAAGAATCCTCTTAATTGCTTAAGGGTGGTGGGAATGGGCCAATTCTGTATCGCTGTAATTTTCTGAGGATCTGTTGAAACACCTTCAGCAGTGATGAAGTGACACAAATATTCAATCTTTTGAACTCCAAACGAGCATTTACTCATTTTTGCAAATAAATGATGCCTCCTCATTTCTTTAAAGACCAATTGTAAGTGGTGTATATGCTCTTGCATACTCTTGTTGTATATCAAGATATCATCAAAGAAGACCAGAACAAATTTCCTTAAAAACTGATGGAACACAGAATTCATGAGGCCTTAGAAGGTAGCTGGTGCATTGGATAAGCCAAAAGGCATAATTAGATACTCATAGTAACATGAATGAGTTCTAAAAGCTGTTTTAGGAATATTGACAACAGTTAACCTTAGCTGATAATAGCTTGACCTTAGATTCATCCAACAAATCTTTCACAATGGGATTCGGAAATTTGGTTTGAATAGTCTATTTGTTGAGGTCCCTGTAGTCTACACACAACCTTCACGTGCCATCCTTTTTACCTTCTAAAACTAGCAGAGATGCAAATGGGTTGCAACTAGGCTGAAGTATGCCTTGATCCAGCATTCAAGCCCTCTATGATGTTATTTTTTTCTGCAGAATACCTATAAGGTCTTTGGTTTATAGGTTCAGTACCATATTGAAGAATAATTTGGTGATCAATCATTCCTCTAGATGGTGGTAACGTAGTAGTTTCAACAAATAATTCTTGTACTTCTCTAACAATAATGTTAAATCAGGATCATTTTTGCAATTTTCACCACTCTAAAGAGTACCACTGCATACTCTTATCTTCTACACATGGAATAACTTGAATCATTGTAAGTTAAGGTTGATTACCTGATAACTTGGATATCTTTACACCATTGGCAGATTTGATTTGATCACCAACACCCCTGAGCACATGCTTCCTACCTTTGTGAAAGAACTCCATAGTGAGATTCTTAAAGTTTATCTTGATATCACTAAGTGTGATCAGCCATTCAACACTTAGTACCACATCATAATTTGCCAAGGGCAACAACATGAAATTGGCCTCAAATTCAGCACCCTACAATAGCCAAGATAATGTGCAAGAAGTATCCACATTTATACCACTACTATTTGCAGCAGCAACTGTCTGAGGACAGGTGGTTGCTACAGGACATCTCAGTTGCTTCACCACATCAGAGTTGATGAAGTTTTGTGTTCTTCTAGTATCTATGAGAATATACAAAGGGTTTTTAGCATTATAACCAGTAACTCTCATACATTTGAACCCCATAGAACCATTCAATGCATGAACTGATATTTCCATGTGTTCTGTCTGCTCTGCCAACTCTAGTATTTGTTCTGAATTTCTAGAGCTCTCATCATCTTCAAAGTATCCAAGATCCAGCTGTTCTTCAACTTCTAATGCATAAACTTGTTTAAGGTTCTTTCATTTGTGACCCTACACATACTTCTCATTGCGGAAGTAGCACAAGCCTTTGGCCCTTTTTTCATTAACTTTCTTAGCACTCAGTCTTCTTCTGTTAAATCCTCAGGGCCCGTTTGGATTGGCTTGTTTTAAGTTCTTTTAAGCCAAAATAGCTTTTAAGTCATTTTGTAGTGTTTGGATAAAGTAAAAAAGTGCTTTTAAGCACTTGTTTTTAAGCTAAAATGGCAAAAACAAGCCAAAAGCAAAAAGTTAGAATTCCTAACTTATGGCTTAAAAGCTATTTTAGTTTAAAAGTCACTTAAAACAAGCCCATCCAAAGAGGCTCTCAATTAAAACTTATTTGTTGATCCTTCCTGTGAGCAGGCAAAGCCAACAATGGTTTGTCCTATTGCTTCTGATCCAAATTCCTTTTAAAATTTGTGGTATGTGCTGGAGGTAATGATATCATTTGCATAATCTCGTTAGACTGAGCATTTATGTAAGCTTCTTGCATCCTGACTGCTTTAAATGCTTGAGCAAGAGGTCTTGGATTTCTCATCTTCACTTCTAAATTCACTTATGAAGATACTCATCTTTAAATGTTTAGATGTTCCTTCAATCCTCTTATGAAGCAATTGATTGCATTTTCCTATGATAAATTCACTCTTGTAAGACTTCTTTCAAAAGCTGTTTGATACTCCTTCAGACTACTAGACTGAACAATCTTCTTCAATTCTTCCATATGATCATCTTAGTTCTCACCAAATTTTTCAGTTAGGGCCATAACATACTCAGTCCATGTGGGTGGCTGAGTGTAACTCCTGTCTTTCATAAAAGCCTGATGCCACTCCATAGCTTCACCTTCTAAATGTAGAGATGCCACCATGACTTTTTCCTCAGCTGGCACTTTATCAATTTGGAAGAATTGTTCTGCTTTGAATAACCGCGACCTCAAATCATTTCCAAAAAATTTCGGAAACAAATTTGAGTGTACTTGGGATACTGTCGACCATTTGTTTGATTTTCTTCCTCCTCTACACGATGTCTTTCAGATGAATCCTTACCATTGGATCTGGACTTCATCCACTGGGACCAAGTACATCCTCTTCGATGGATTCAACATTTGTTCCTTCAATTCATCCAATGTCTTATCCAAACCCTTCACGTGAACAACTTCACCCACTAAAGAGCCTACTGTAGATATCAACTATTGCATTATCCTTGAGATCACCCAATTTTGTCGTTGAATTCTTAATAATTTTACCACATTTCGTCATTTTTATCACCGTGAATCCAAAGCTCTGATACCATTGTTATACAAATGCAGGGATTATCAATAATCTGAGGTTTGAATGTAGCATACTAGGAGCTATAACAGAAAAAGCTCGAAGCTTAGCTATGGCGATGGAAAAAGAAGAGTCGAGAAGAGAGAAGAATGAATACTGTAGGTGTAGAATGTAATTGTTATTATGACATCCAAAATATAATACAATCACCTATATGTACTGTATTGAGCTGGAATGAAAGACTCCTTTTAACCAATTCTCAACTAACTCTAACAAACTTTTGACTGTTAACTAACTTCTGAAACTAACTAATATTTGCTTTATTAATTGCAACTCACTATTAACCACTGATACAACACTAATTGTATAACATACTAAATTCAAGACAAAATGCAGAAATATAGAAAAATAAAATGCCCTCGTTGAGAGCCATATTCAAGACCTACGCTTACTTAGTGGCTGGTCTAACCGGCTGAGCTACGAGGGTTTTGTTCTCTCTTGTTTCAGTTCAAAAATAATTGATCTCTTGTTTGAGTACTTTCTAGTGGATTTGCTATAAAATTCAAACAACGAATTGTAATTTTCTAAAAGTATAGCTACGAATGATAAATACAATGTATACATATTTGTTTTGTCACATAATTTTCATAATAAATATCCGAATGAATAATTGAAGTGTACACAATTCGGCAGGAAGACCATCATTATGAAGGGCATACTATAAAAAATGGGTAAAAGGAGTTAGTATTTGATATTGGAACATTTATGCTATAATACAATTGGGAGAAAAGCCTTACTCGGTTTAACCCCTATTTGAGGTACTTGGTTTAGCCACCACCAGCTACAATATGAAAACAAGCATCTGCTCAAATAACTTATGTACATATTGGTTAATCTTAGGGATTTTGAAATTATCATATTGCGGAGAATATATCTTCGAAAATCTTCTGGGAATAAAATGAAAATGACATCACCATCGTTGGAGTAAAGAACATCGAATATTGTAGTTGGAAAACTCCGTTGAAGCTCTTTCGACGTTTGAGGTAATAATTTTCTCTCTGGAAAGTGGAAAATTCGTCCCAAAATTTGTAATCTCTCCAAAAGAAATGGATGCCCAGTTGAATTCTACACCGAGTTTCATCCAAGTCCGTAACTATTAATTAACCTTTCGTTGATTTGCTTCTACATCATAGGTGCAACGTAGACACGGAACATCAAGTTTGTTAGCTATTTGGATTAGGTGTTGTTCCACATCAAAAGGAGTTCAAAATTTAAATATGAAGTGATTTTGAGTAGATTTGAGCAATATTTGAGTTAAATTTTTTAAAAGATACAAGGAAAAAGACGAAGTCAGTTTTTGTATAATGATATATAAATGTGTATATGGGTCTATAAACACCTCTTATACACTATTATACATTTTTATACATATTTATACAAGCATCTATAGATGAACTTCTTTCACGATTTTCAGTTGCATTTCCTGTTCAAAACCAGTCTAAATCTCCATTAAATGACTTCAAATTTTATATATAACCTCCTTATGCTATTTCTCACAAATCTAAATAATAGCCACTCCAAGTTTCTCATAATTCAAATTCGAAATTTAAACCCTTACTTAAGCTCGTTCAACAATGATGAACTAGTCCAAATCTTTATTAAGCGACTTCAAATTTTGTATACAACCTCCTTATACTATTTCTAACAAGTCTAAACAACAGCCACTCCAAATTTCTCATAAAATCATATTTGAAATTTAAACCCACTTATTTAAGCGTGTTCAACAATGGTGGATTATCTTAAAAATCTAATTTTCACCACCAAATGAATTTGGTTTGTTGAACTAATGTTTGAGTCACAATTACTAGGACGAAAATTAGATTACAAGCTTGAGATTGTTTTTAAAAAAATGAATAGTAATTTCGAGAACCTGTTTGGAGTTGGATGTTAAAGTTTAAGCCTCATTTGTTTGCACTTAATTGGGGTCTGAATCTTAACCATTCAGATCTCAGACATTAAGTATGTTTGTTTTTAAAGTCAGATCATCATTAAGTTTTTTATTTTTTTTTTACTTCACAACCACTTAATGGGTCTGAATAGGTCTGTATGATTAAGATCTATAACAGAGACGTAATTTCATTAAGATGCTATCATCCATATTCATTATTAACTGCCACCACCGCCTACCATTATCAACTACCAAGATGCCACCACCACCACCATAATCAACCACAACCACCACCACTACTACCATCATCCTCAATCATAGCCACCACCATTATCTATTATAACCTCTGTTTTAAAAGGCAGAGGCTTACGCCCCGGACACGCCCAACGCCCAGCGTACTGGGCTCGCCTAATAGAACTTTATGCAATCGTATGTAACTAACCTTGTAAATCTTCAAATTTTCTTAATAAATCATTCACTACTCAAAATTACTTTTTTCCTAAGTATAAATTATTATGTTGGGAGTTTTGTCATAATTAAAATAAAAATTATTGCACGTTATCCACTAAGACTACTATGATAGTTAATTTTAAATAAATCTTTCATTTAAAAAGTATTTATTTATTAACTATTGTTATGTCTTTACTCTATAATAGTCCATAATTTTTTTTATAATTATTTTTCTAATTATTTTTTTTTCACGTTTACGAGATACAATACTTATTAATTTAATAGCTCATTATTAGCTAGTAATTATGTACAAATAATTAGTTATCATGATATTGTATGGTGAATTATGTGTCACTTTATTAACTTGTTGAAACTTAAAAATGAATGATGCTTGAGAATCATATTTAAATTGTGAATTATGTTTTTATAAAAATTCTCTTTCAAATAGAAAGCATATTAAATAAAAGGAGTATTTTAAGAAAAATATCAAATTATAATATCGAAATTCTTTCAAGATTCATTACTCCTTAAGAGATATATATAAGATTTCGTATCGAATACATTACTTTTGATGTTTGAGTTGTAACGACATTGCAACTATTTGTTATGATATATGTCATACTTTTCGTATTATTCATAGTTAAATTATAATTTATTAATATTTTAAATACATTATTTGTTATAATTCTGTAATTTTAATGTACTTTTTATAATTATTTTTTATTTTATACTATCTTAAAAATTCATGAAATTAGTAAAATTTAAAGATCCATGGGACTTACGCCCCATGTCTCAGGGCTTACGCCTCGCCTCGTTAGAGGTAAAATGCCTCGCCTCACGCCGTCGCCTTTTAAAACATTGATTATAACCACCACTCCCACCACCATCATTTTCAACCACAATCAACACTCATCCACCTCAACTACCACAACTAACCACCATATCACCATCAACCACAACCGGCAAGGTCCATCATTATAACATACCGCCACCCACCACCACCTTGCTCAATTACAACTACCACCACCACCTGCCATTATTAACTATCACCACCCACCACCACCATCCTCAATCATAATCGTCGCCACTACCAATCACCACTAGCTACTACCTTAACCACCACCATCAACCAAAACTACCACCAACCACCGCCTCTAATCAGCATTCGCCAATTCGCCTTCACCACCAACAACTATCATATTTTTAAAAACTATATATTTTATTGATAGAATATTAGATCAATTAGTATTTCATTTGAATTTTATATTTTTAAATTTTCAAATAAAGATAAATTTTATACATTCAAATGTTAAAAATCAAACAGTCTTAATCATTTAGTATTCAGATCTTAATACACATCTTAATATTCAGATGTGTATTAAGATTCAGATGTCTTAATCTTAATACACATCTTAATATGTAGATGTGTATCCAGATTCAGACGTCTTAATCTTAAAAAAAACAATGAGGCCGTAGTCTATTATTTTTGGGCTACAACTTAGCAAAGTTAAATATAAGCCTCGTAATTGCAATATATGTGTGTGAGTTGCACTTATGTGTAATTCTCCCTATATTAAAAAAAAAAAAAAAAGGATTCTTTTTTGGGTGGAAGCATGGAGATGTGATGACGTGGCTGGTGAATAATGATGCATCTCAGTTGTGGCACATGACAAAGCCAGTGGTGACCAAATCTCCACAACTTCAACGAACGAACAGAAATGATGGCAATAAGCATCAGAATCAATCAGAACGTGAATGGCACTCATGTAATCACGTCCAATCCACGGTTCCCATTAATTTACCAACCATTCTCTCTGCCTATTTATACTCTCTCTCGTGGTCTCTCCATTCCAATCAAATATTTGAACAACAACATCGTAAAAACAAGGAGAAAACAAATTAAAAGACAAAGACAACAACTTAATTTAGGGCAACAAAATGTCGTGGCAAACATATGTTGATGATCATTTGATGGCTGACATTGAAGGTCAGCAAGGTCACCATCTCGCTGCTGCTGCTATCCTTGGCCATGATGGCAGTGTTTGGGCTCAGAGTTCCACTTTCCCTAAGGTTCGTGACATTTGACGTGACAAATCGATCTGTTCGTTTTTCCATGTTTTTCCCTTTGTTCTCATCGTGTTTTGGTCAGTGGCGCGCGGATACAACCATAGATTTTTCGTCACAAATTTTCTCGTCAAATATCCTTGGATATGTTCAGTTTTGCATTTCTTTTTTCCCCTTTGTTCTCATCCAATGTTATGTGTTTTGATCAGCGGTGGATCCAACAATCAATTTTTTTGGTTAGGCAATTGAGCGAATTATGTACACACATTTCACAACTTACTCAAAATACATAATGTTTAAATTCTGGATCTATCACCAATTTTTATATGGATTTGTCTCTCTTAAAAAAACAACAAGTATATTCTTATATACCTATATTGTGTTACTATCATTTTATAATATGGATAAAGAGTTCGATTTTATAATAAATAAAAAAAGTTTAATATGAAAATAAAGGAAAGCATTTTGATGATAAGAACAAAACATATTCAATTGTCAATTTTCGTTCATTGTCATTTAAATTCCTGTCAATGTGGAATATAATATACCTGTCCATAATCTTTTCACCCTTTGTAGGTTTCCCAACTTATGCTTTGAGTTGGGTTTTTTTTCTTTTTCTTTTTGATTTATTTCTTTCGCGTTTAGCTAGATCTGTTGTTGATCGTGAGGTTTTCTATAAGAAGTAAGATTTGATCTTTATTTAATAATGAAATTCAATGGACATATACGAACATAGAATCTTATTTTACATTTATTTCATATAATATGATCTTTTAACAAGTGGATTAATTTTTTTGTATGTGTCCACCAGTTTAAACCAGAGGAAATTACTAATATCATGAAAGATTTTGATGAACCTGGACATTTAGCTCCAACTGGTTTATTCCTTGGCGGGGCAAAATACATGGTAATCCAAGGAGAACCTGGCGCTGTCATCCGTGGGAAGAAGGTAATCGTCCTCATTCTCTCCTTAGAACCGTGCATAGCACGACTCAAACCAATTCGTATATTTGATTATAAATAGTTGTGTGTAAAAAAAATATAGTCCGGTGCATAAAGCATCCTCCTTCATGCAGGATCCGAAGAGGATTGTATCCCTAGGGGTGTGATGTAGACAACCTCAGTGGCGGAGCCACCTTAGGCTAAGGGGTGTCAACTGACACCTCTTAGCCGGAAAATAATATTGTATAGTTAAGCCAAAAATTTATTTTTATGTGTGTGTGTATATATATATATATATATATATATATATATATATACTACTTCGTCTGTCAACCTTTTTATATGTTGATTTAATCCTTAGTAAAATTTTTGGTTTCGTCACTGGACAGCCTACCTTATCACAAGCATTAGTGGCTACTTTCACGGTCCGAACTCGTGATCTATAGGTCATACGAATATAACTTTATCACTGTGAAGGAAATAATTGTGTAGTAATATTTGATATTTCCATTGTTATTCCAACAACTATTTCGTGTGATAAATCTAGTGCATATTTTATTGCAAGTAAATATAACGATGATCTTTGCATGTGGTTGAGAACTATGTTACATGGAATGGCGAACGTACGTGCAGTTTTTTCGCTAATTTTTAGTGTATACGTTCTCTAAAACATGTACACTTGTTTGACATGATTATGGCAAAGCAAATGAAAGATCCATGATTTGTGCATTTTGTTATAGGAAAATGATACTGTATAACCGTTCTCAAAATAATAACTAAAAATATATATTTTTTGTAATTTTTATATATACATTTCTTATATTATATACAAAAAGATATACATAAATTTTATGCAATTTTACTGCTACTACCGTTGTAAATAATTTCTGTCGCATGTTAAAAGTGATCTTTTCGACAAAATACCTTTTTGTCTAGGTGCTTAAAATCTTGTGAACTTCTTTTTGAGTTGTGACAATATATCTGGACTTGATATATATTTCTATTTTTGAGTGATTGTAAAATTGTTTTTGTGTAGGGATCTGGTGGAATAACCATCAAGAAAACTAACCAGGCTCTGATTTTTGGTATCTATGAGGAACCAGTGACCCCAGGACAGTGCAACATGGTGGTTGAGAAAATTGGTGACTATCTTGTTGACCAGGGCTATTAAATTAATTCCCTCTTTTAAATTGATTATCGCAAAATTGAATTTTGTTGTATTTGGTGATTGCATTTGTATCTTCTAGGGCCAAATTGGCACTGGAATTTTTTTTCCTTTTTTTTCTTTTTTGGGAAAATAACAAGCATCATGAGACATTCTCTCTTTTAGGATTGGTATTTTCCATTTTGCTCTAAAAGTTACTTCAACTATACTGTGTATTCATAATTTTCTCGACATTTTACTTCTGGTTTTTTATTGTTCCTAGCATTACCTCAAGGAGGTTAATTTCATCGGATGGTAATCTAACTAAAGATCTATTGTAACAAAGTCATATAACTAAATTTTATAATCAAAATATATATCAACTGTTCATATATCTTGCATAAAATGAAAATCGAGAAAAATTCACCTCCGATGATGAATATTATGATTAAGCAACCACATAATTAAGGTAAATTCTTAAATGAACATATCTATAACTACAACCTGTAATATAACATATTCCGTGCCGGGTTGATGAAGGACCTTAGCTCTGGCATGCTACAGTCAGGGGCGGATTTAGGGGCGCAAGGGTGTTCACCCGAACACCCTTCGTCGAAAAATTACACTGTATATATAAGGCAAAATCTGTGTTTTACCTTTATATATTAAGTTTTGAACACCCTTACCACAATCCAAAAGTATAGTTTAGTGGTCAAGGGGGTTTAAAATTTACATAAAGTCATGGGTTCAATTCCCACTAGCTACAAAAAAATTTTTTGAACCCTTTCGTGAAGATCCTGGCTCCACCACTGACTACAGTTATTTAATGCCGTGGAAATGCTGGTGATTTAGCAATTTTCGTCGGTATTAGTCTGTAGGGCGTCCTTTATTTAACAGAGAATTTAGGTTATATACGTAGTGTAAAGATTTTATTTATACTATTGGTATATTTTAACTTCTGATGACAAGTTAGCTAGTACTTATTACTTTTACCAGATTCGATTTTGATTAACAATAACAACAATAATAAACTCAGTGCAATCCCACATGTGGGGTCTGAAGAGGGTAGTGTGTACGCAGACCTTATCCCTACCTAATGATTTTGATTGTATAAATATTTTTAGATCGTTAACTACCTAAGATATCGGAAACAGCTTCTCTATCCTTCCAGAATAGAGGTAAGACTGCGTATATCTTATCCTCGCCAAACCCCACGTGTAAAAAGTTACCAAATTTAATTTTTTTTTGTTGTTGTCGTTGTTAACTACCCATGACCAGAGCCTGGGATAGTGCCGGATATGCAAAGAACCATGGATTCATGTATCCCACCCAAGATAGCATGTCTTAGCAACATCTCTATCCCTGTTTAATGTCGTTCTCCTGTGACATTGGAGGTATGCAGCCTAGGAATCTGCTGCTTCTGTGTATAGACTATAGTTACAGCTGCTTCTGTAATTATTTGATTGATTTAGCATTGTTTGACCAAAAAGTATAACTTTCGGTTAAACCTTTATATTTATATCACTATTAGAAATTCTGAATTTAGCGACCAAAATTTTGCGACCAGAGTTGGTCAGTAAAGGGGAGAAAAATATTTTATATTTATTTTATATAAATTACCGATCAAAGTTGGTCGGTAAAGTGGTCATCAGGTTGACCCAGATGGTCAGCATTGTGTAGTCAAAGAAAATTTCACATTACCGACCAACTTTGGTCGGTAATGTGGGACCCAGATAAAAAAATTTAATAGTTATATTATTATTTAAAATATTTTATAAAATATATAAAAATCTTATTTAAAATTACTGACCAAAGTTGGTTGGTTAATACAGTGGAAACATTTACCAACCAACTTTGGTCGCTTTTTTTTAATATTTGGAAAGTAACCGACCAACTTTGGTCGGTTATTTGGTCAACATTGGTCAAAATTTAAATCACTTTTATATTTACTATCTAAATAATATAAATGTAATCCGTTAACACTTTTGTAATACAAGGGATGAATACACTAACATATACTATAACTTGCTATATATGTGTTAAAGTAGTACAACGAAGCGTGTTATATATATAGGTGAGACGTTTTGTTTTTAATATTCAACGATGCATCTGAGTAAGTTATAAGTCGATGAATCAATTTACAAACAGATATATTTGATGATAAATTATATATACTAATTAGGATCTTCACAAATCTATCAATCCCTAAAAGAACCATATGTACGTAAATAATGTTCTAACACTATGTACGTAAATAATGTTTGTAAGTTATGCTAGCTTATGAATTTTTTTAACACTATGTAGGTAAATAATCCAAATAATGGTGTAAATCAATTTTTGAAAGATATATCTTGGGGACCTGGGCTTGAGGTCACAACAATGTCTAAGTACGTAGTGAATGGTTATAAGTTTCATACAGAGGATTGCTCTAAAAATAAAAATACCAACAACAGTGGGGTGTGGGTTCAAGGTGGTGATGGCAACCAAGTTGGAGATATTGATTATTATGGTGTGCTCAAATAAATAATAGAACTAGAATATACAGGTTGGCCATTTAAGAAATTGATACTCTTTAGATGCAAGTGGTTTGACCCAAATCCAACAAGAGGTACAAGAGTACACAAACAATACAACATAATTGAGGTTAATCATACGAGGGAGTATGATCGCTATGATCCTTTCATAATTGCACATAATGTTAGGCAAGTGTATTATGCTCCTTATCCATTGCGGCGGAATAAGTCCAATTGGTTGGTTGTAATAAAAACTAAGCCTGTAGGTAGGGTGGAAGTGGAGAATGTGTTAGATGTTGTATATCAAAATGATATCTCCAGTGTTCACCAAATAGTGGACGATCAGCTAGAAAATAATTTGGAACATCCTGAACACATAATTGAAGAAGTTGATATAAATGAAGTAACAATTATAGAAAATGAGGACGAAGAATCAACTGATGAAGCTCAAACAAGTGAGGACGAAGTATTCTCGGACGAGGAACAATACGTCGGTGAGCTTTAAAAAGTTGGTTTTTTAAATAACTCTTATTTTATAGCTAGTTTCTTATATGTTTCAATCTAAATATGTATTATATTATGCAGATGGCAGGCAAGGGTCAAGGTAACAATGACCCTACTGGTTCTCGGGGTCGAGGAAAGGCTAGGAAGGAAAAGAGGAGGGTAGTTAATAATACTCCCTCTTGTCCACCCTCTACAGAGATGCCTATGTCTTATCCTCCACCCCACGGCTATACTGAGCTGTTGTAGCATCACGAGCCCTACACCTTCATGCAGACACCAGGTCTTTCATCACATGGCCATAGGATTATACGTCCGACATACAGTCCAACTGCCTCACGACCACGTGGATCGCAGCCATCTGCATCGCATGGATCGCAGCCATCTGCATCGCATGGATCGCATCCATCCATGTCACAGCCACATGGATCACAGCCACTCGGGTCACAGCCATCAGTATCACAGCCACTTGAGGTCTATCCAGCTATGTCACAGTCACAGGGATCGCAGCCATCTTCATCAGCGACTCCATCTATTTTAGGCCTTCGCCTGCGATGTAGTAGCTCTGACCCCCCTACACCGTCCACACATGCCTCTGATATACATGCTTCAGACGATGATGTTGATGATGACGAGGAGGCGCATTATGATCAATATGGCAGGATCATCATAGTCCCTGAGGGTGATGGGTAAGAGTTATTTGTTATTTTTGCGTTTATTGTTTTGTAAAGTTTTTACTAAGATATTAATGTGTTTTAATTGTTAAATTGCAGGTTCATCCCGAGTAATAGGACTACGAGTATAATCACCAAAGCCATCAGAAAGCTTTATGATGGCCCTTATGCGACTTGGACTGATTTCCAATTCTCGCTGAAGGAGCATATTTTCAATCAATTTAAGGTATAAATGTTCTTTTAAGCAGTTTAATAATTTATATTTATGATATTTCTTGTTTAATATTTAACTTTTGAAATACAGAGCAAGTGTATATGGGAACACCGCTATAGCGCGAAAGTGGCTGCAAATTTTCATCATAAAGCTCGCAAGCGATTGTCGCATACTTTCTCCGAAGCTAGAAAGAAGAACAAGAAGCCTGACCGGTTACTTCAAAATTTATGGGATGATTTGCAAAGGCAATGGCTTACCGTAAAGTTCTTAGAGAAGAGCGAAAAAGGAAAGAAAGCTCGCGCATCTGAGAAGGGAGGCTCCTTGCACACTGGAGGTGCGGTCAGCCTAGGGACAATAAAAAAGAAGATTGGTACGTAATTGCTTAAATTATTTTAATTTTCAAAGTATATCTATTCAGTTTATTAACTAAATTAATTTTTTTTTCAGGAAAAGAAGTTGGGGCGTCCAATGAACCATGATGAGATATTCAAGGAGACGCATATTGTAAAGAAGAAGAAAGAGACGGATCAAGAAAGATGGGTTGAGGACTGGGCCTCGATTGTATATGTAAGCTTTCAATTTTCTTTAAGTATTTTAATTTGCTTTTATATAAATTTTGAAATACTAATTCAATTTAAATTTTCGTACAGGGTCGCTACCAAACTAACGTGGAGGAATTCATCCGCACTCAGCCAGCTGGTGAATCGGGCGAGCAAACCCAACCTTCGGACGAGGATGCTGAAAGAATATGGATGGAGTCTGCTGGCGGTCCAAAATAGAGGAAGGTATACGGGCTTCCTACTAAAAAGTTCCATCACTATAAGTGTGGAATGCAAGAAATAGGGACTTCCTCGCAAGGCGAGCAACTTAATGGGGTGAGCCTCTCTGCTATGCGGGAGACTGTGACAAAGCTCACATCCGAGCTAGAAGTGGCCAAGGAAAGAGAAAGGGTTAGAGATGCTCAATTCCTTGGCATGCAAGCTCAGATCAGAACTCTCCTATCTATTGGAGCTTTTCCGTAGCCTCGGTCTCATGAGTCATCGCCAGAGGCTCGACTTGAACGTGAGCGTTCTTTCCGTCCTCCCCGTGATCGTTCCTCCAGTCCTCCTCGTGGTCGTTCTTCACGTCCTCCACAAGACCCTTCTCGATACCGTCTTTTAGATGAAAGTTCATCAGACGTTGATGATGATGTTGTACAAAACACTCATTGACTTGTATATACTTTGAATTAGACAAATAGAACCGGTTCTGAACTAGTTGTAATAAGTATTAACTTGGTTTTGGATTTTTTAGTTCTATTGAACTTTAATTTGTTAGTTTTAATGTATTTATTGAATTGTGTTGTTGTTGTTGTTGTTGTTGTTGTTGTTG